AGGGAGCCTGAAGACCAAGCACTGGGCTGTGTTAATGCTCCCGGCTTCAGAGCTCGGTTCTGGAATTTCTAAGTGGTTGTGACCCCTTCTAGGTGCGGGTTATTTCCACTTTAATCACCTGCCTTCCCTTGTGTTATTGCATGGAGGTGGGCTGTCCTCAGGGAAGGGGAAGAGGTAGTTCTTGCTATGGGAGCAAGGGCAATTGCAGTATGGCAGCAGCTCACACAGGGAGCAATACTGGCATTTTGCATTGGATGCATTACGTGTGTGCTGTAGGTACACAGTGGGAGGGAGGGAGAGCTGCTGTTATCCAAACATTACCACCTTAACACACCCCTCTTCCCTTCTAAGAAGGTCTAATAAGGCTTTAAAAACTATTTTTCTACACATGCACAAAGCAATTTTCACTGCTGTTAACTGCTGGTGAGCAAAATTCTTCACGGGTAGTAAARTTTTACCATTTTCTTGTTTCTACTCAAGTATTGCTGTTAATGTGGACTAGGCTTTGTAGGTTCTTGCAGCTGGGATATTCAAAAGTAATATTCCAAAGTAATTAGGATTATGATTAGTATTATCATTACTTTAGGCTTTATTATTGAGCTAGGAGTGCTAGTCAATAGATGAAATGCATGAAAAAGGCATCAGTAAGAATTTTATTAGTTTATTATGATGTTAGTCAGGACTGTCTACTTCAGAAATATTAAGGGAAAAGACTGCAAAAATCCCTAAAACCTTTTTCTTTAACATTCCAATCTAAAAAAAAAAAAAAAAAAAAAAAAAAAAAAAAAACACTGTCCTATAGATAGGTTAAAAATAAATATGTGTTATGTCGAGATTCTGTAGCATTGCCGTGATGCTGGCAGTGATAGTAGAAATAGAGCACGTACTGCGAAAATGAAGATTTTAATGCCTTCGTGATTCTCTTTAGATGTTTAAATGGACTACTTAAAATGTGCTGTTATGTGCAATTTTCCCCAGTGGCAGGGGGAAGAAAACGGCACCTTGGAAGTTTGCTRCCCACATCATCAGTCTTGCTGAAGGCTCCAGGCTCAGCCAGCAAYGTTCCTGGCTGCTGCTCTGGTTCTGCCTCTCGTGCTCGCAGTGCTTCCCTTAGGAAAACAGGAGAGCCTCCCAGTGCCCAGGTAACCTCCCCATGCCCGTCTTCATGCTCTGTGCTCCGGGGTGGAGGCGTCGCTTCATCCCATCTGAACAAATGCCAGGCAAAGGCTCCTTCCACGACTTCCAAGATAATCTAAAGAATGGCTTTGTAGTCAATAATAATAAAAAATCTGTTATAAATAAATAATAAATAAATAATAAATAAATAATAAAAACTGTTTCTTATGGGCAAGGCAAGGTTACCCAGCACACACAGGTGAAAACTGGGGCCCGTAAATCCCATAATCACATCAAAAAAGGAAGGGTGGCTTCTGGTCCACTGCAGCTTGGGCAGGAATCATTTCAAGATTTTACCCAGCGCAACTTTAAATGACTTACGCGCTTGTTGGTTCTCAGGGAGAGATTGTCCCACAGCCTCAAAGACCTCTTGCTGTGTGGAAAAATGCCTTTTCCTTTCTTTCTGCCTCAGATTTTCCATTAACAAATTTTTATCCCAAAGTGTACACCCACACAGCCCGTTTGAACTCTTCTTCTGTGTTTTTATGACCTTCCAGTGCTAGCAGACATTTACTACATCCCTCTTGTCTACTGGCCAGATTATGCGCATTGAAACTTCCTATATAAATGCATCCCTTCAGTGCCTTAATCTCTTTTGGTGGATTTTTTCCCCTCCTTTGAATATTTTCTCATCCTCTCTGCTCTTTACAGTCTCTGGYCTCCATCTGGAGATTCGTTTCTTGAGAGGGCTCCGGAAGCCTCAGGCAATACAGGAAAAGTCTCGTAGGATGGTGGGGAAGGAGGGCGAGGGAGGAAGCCCCAAGTGTCTGGCCTCGGGCTCCTTGTAAAAGCACAAATTCACAACAGTTCTGCACCAGTATTAATAGCAAAAACGGCACTGCATGTTCACCTTCTGTGTTATACTAGTCACATTTTAGATGTTGATAATTTTTCTTGCTAGAGAATACAAACAGCTTGGGCTGGCACACAAGAAATATATGAATATAGTTTTTGGAGGTGCTCTGTGTTTCCTTATATAAWGGCTGCAGTCGATGGCTGTACTGTTATATACTGGTATGACGGCACCAAGTAAATTAGCATTTTGTGCTTGCAAATGTATTGTTKTGTAAAACTAAACCATTATTTTGATTTCATGGTGTTGTAGGACACCACTTAGAGCACTTGGAGGGAAAAGCAGTGTGAAACACTTAATTTCTGCATGTCCCATGTGGAAATATCTACCTGCCTGTAGCCTGACTCAAGAATACTATTTTCTTTTCAACTACCTCGTGGCAGAAAATCATATATATTTATATGCTAGTTCTTGTCCTCTCCCAGGCCTCATACCAGACTGCAGAGCTGCTGTTTGGAATGGTTTCTAAATCTTATTTTTCTAGCCTGTCAGTGACGTTGCCTTCAGGTCCTTAAGATGAAGGCCACCAATTACTTATGCCTGTGTAAACAGCTAATAGTAGAGTGTAATACATGCAGCATGACAGGACAAGATGACTCTTTCCATTTGAATGTGCTGGAAGGCAGTAGTGAATTTCAGCACTACTTAGGCATAGGGCAGGCGGGACTCATGCCGAAGTGGGGACATGATGCAGGCAGCTAAACACATCCACGAGAGGTCAGAACTGAACAGGATCCAGAKCCAGCCTTTGCTCCCAATTCAGCGAGGGCGCGTCCGAGCAGGAGGCAGCTCCGCCGGGAGACACTGATAAGGAATACGGGCACCGCACTTGAACTGCACTGTCCAACTACAACACGGACACCTGCAAAGGAAGAAGATGCCAAGAGAACAGGCTTTGAAGTTATTTTCTACGAGCCAAAATTAACTTCCGCTTTAGAAATATTTAGAAGAAGTGATTCGAAAGTAACCCAAAACAAACCTTGAAAGGTCTGAATAGTGTGTGTGCAATGACATTCTCAAAAMTCCAAATAAAACCTTGATTACAGGGAGAGAAAAATTACCTCTAGTTCTGCTTGTTCTAAGGGCCCAATCTGTGAACAAATCTGGGATATTTTTCATCATGAAGATGTTTTACTCTCAGTATTAACTTAGAGAGA